AAGTAGGTTATAGGTAGAGTTATAAGTACCCTCACTGGAGTTACCTCAATTACAACCCTACTTGTAACCGACTTACTAAGTCCGCTGGGCCTCCAAGTACACTCTAAACTCTAAACCCATTCAAGTCTTGCGGTTCTATCGGAGCTACGCGGGAAGCCTTCATAGGGTTTTTGTGAAGTTGCATGGGGTTTTGCAGCATTTTTGGTGTTTAGGCTAAGTTTACGGTGGCACTCGGATTTAGGGCTTCGGGGGTTTAGGTGTGGGGCTTAGGTTTTGCAATCATGAACCCCAACCGCCCTTGCTCTGAGCTTCCTTCGTGAACACCTGTAGAAATGGGTCTGATTCCCGAAACCCAGAACTCGACAGTACACTGCAAGTCCCGTATAGAATGCTTTGAAGAACCACCCTCTCAATTGGCCACCCTCTCAATAGGGTTTAGGGTTTAGGGTTTAGGGTTTAGGGTTTAGGGTTTAGGGTTTAGGGTTTAGGCTCTCAATTGGGGTCGGAATCCTGAGATAAAGGTTTCGAGCGAGGGGCCACCGGCATTGTCCGTGGCAGCAAGGTAGATGGCACCAAGCATCACCAAGGCGCTCACACCGATGACGACGTATTTCCTAGGGTTTAGGGTTCAGAATTCACCGTTTAGTGGGTTGCAGTACACTAAGCTTCTTGCAAGGATTCAATTTTTGCAGGTGTAGGGTTTAAGGCTTTGGAGTTCTGATTTTCGGTTTTCGGCTTGAGGTTTCTGGGACGGGGCATCTAAGCAAAACAAGAGTTCAAAAAACTAAACGACGACGAGAACAGCAGCAGCAGCAGCAGATGCAGTAGCAGAAGCAGCAGCGGCAACAAAAGCAGCGCAGTTCATGCAGAAACATTGGGAGCAACGGCAGCGGCAGCGGCACAAAACTACGTACCAGACAATCACAACAAGGAAGGTAGGCATCAATACGGCCAACAACATTACCATCAGGATGATTCGTTTGCCACTGCACGGTTTCTACTCCCCCCCTTCTCCTACTACTACTACTACTACTACTACTACTACTACTACTACTCTTGTAACCACCACTGCAACTACCACCAGCATGCATACCAACGATTCCCATTGAAATCAATCTGATTAAAGGATATGGAACTTGCGAAACCTGAACCCTGGACAACTCAACCCGTCAATCCCCTAAACCGCGTGCGTCTTTCTTCAAGTCTCTGAAAACCCTATAACCCCCACATCCTGCATAATCCCCCATACAGCCTTGTAGGTGTTTACATGACTCTTGCGAACCAAGCCTCTGGATGTTTTTGGAAGGCTTGACATCCCAACGAAACCCTGATAAAACTCAGAAACCTTAAACCCGAAACCCTATACCCTTAACTCTGATAAAAGTTTCATAAAGATACAGATCCCGCTAACAGAAACTGCAGGCTTACAAAAGAGTCCTTACAAAACCCATGTTATAAACACAGCTTATGAACCACAGCCTCATATAAACAAAAAGAAAGAAAATCGGCTAAGGGTTTAGGGATTCAGAACCCTTCTCAGAAACAACAACTGGCAAGCAAAAACATGATTCAAAGGCTCTTGGTGTCTTTCAAAACCTTACAGAGTTCAAACCCTTGTAACTTCAAAAATTCTGAAACCCACGGCTTTTGATGTCCCTTATCCTAGACAAAAACTTCCTCCTAAAACCTAAACCCTAAACCCTAATGTGAACCCAAAGCTCTTGATGTCTTTCCAAGGCTGCCAAAATTCTAAGCCTTGCAACTTCCCTAAACCCTAACCCGCACGAAATCTCCTAAACCCTAAAACCCTAAACCCTAAACCCTAAACCCTAAACCCTAAACCCCTAAACCCCTAAACCCCTAAACCCTAAACCCCTAAAACCAAAACCGTCGAGGCTCTTGATATCTTTCAAAGGCTTCTTGCCCTTGGAGCGCTTGCTCGCGGCCTCGGCGGCAGCCGCCATCTTCTGGTCCTTCGTCTGTGCCATCCTCCTGGTTTAGGGTTTAGGGTTTAGGGCTTTAGGGGTTTAGGGTTTAGGGCTTTAGGGTTTAGGGTTCAAGGTTTTGGGGGTTTAGGGTTTAAGGTTTAGGGTTTTAGGGTTTGGGGGTTTCGGGGT